ACAATCCTTATTTACCAAGCTAAACAGATGCAGAACATCAACTCAATTTTAGTATTTTTATGACAACCCGTGTTGATTAAACTTCATGACAGGGCAATAGGCCCAATAAACGCAATTCTTAGAGCACGAAAGAATATAAAGCGCAGCACTCAGATGTACATAAAATGTCAAAAACTACCAGAAAGATTAACGAGAATCGATCATATGAGATAGAGGTGTGGTAAACAAATGAAGGCATTCCACGAGTTTTATGAATCCGAAGATTACCTATATATACATGGTTACTACATGAGTCCTCTCGATCTTACTCAAATTTTTATATCTGTTGGAATCTGATATATTTACCTGCATGTATGGTCTAAGATAATATTATCATAATTTTAAGGCGCTCTGACATAGTTCTCCCAACATCGTCAAAATTTATGGAATATCTGGTTTCAGCTGAACTGTGTAACTTTTTTATTTACAAACCGCATATCACCCTAACATGTTGCCAGGACAGGGCAATACTGAAACAAAAAAACTGATGACTGCAGCGTATTGACAGGACACCAACTTCAGTCATAAGGGGAGAGTTGAGCATAATACATCTCGATTTTCCTAATGCTTCTGATAAAGTCTATCATACACAGTGTCAGTAAGCACAAACTGATAGGTATCAATTCACCAAATAATGTCTGCATAGTAGTCAGCTGGAGCCATGTAAACTTTGCAACTCTTTTCTGGAGGTGACCTCAGTTGAGAAAATCTGGGAGTCTAGTCTCCTACTGACCTGTGTCGAAAATGCTTCTCGAGAAAATCTCGCACTGAAGTGGAGTAAACGTCAATCGATTTGCGAGTTTCACTTGGTTCGTCTTTATATCACAGAAAGTTTCCTTTCACCCCAAAAGGACAGTACTTCTGAGTATATTCAGAAGCGAGGAACAAAATAATTTTACCGAGTTAAATACAATCCTTTCATAGAACGCCGTAAGTCGCTGAGTCCTTAACAATCAAATCAAATGCAACCTAAAGCATCCTAACCTTGGGAAAAATACCCAGAAAACTGGGACTTAATCATAACTACACTTTACGAGTTGTCATTGCTTAGAGTTTGCTATTAACTAGGGTGGTTCAGGCAACAACCCACGAATCTTTCAAGAGGAAATTCAACATATTCCAAAGGACTTGTAGCAGTATTTAATACTAATTTTCTGATAAGTCTGTTTCATTCACTTATGGCCCTACCTGGAGGATTCGGTGATTTATTGTTTTCAAGAATAGAAGCTCGTCAAGTTAATCTTTTTAACTCTATTCACAACCACTTAATCTGGCTCACTCAGTACTTGATCGGCCAAATTATTAGATAGCCAAAAAAGCAATCATGACTCCAACCAATAAGACCAAAAAGCGAACTTGTGGGTCTAATTAAAAAGCATAATTAGTCTGCAGGCATCGAACCAGGTGTCGTTCTAATTACTAATACTTCAGAAACTTAATTTTCACTTCAATGTTTCCATTTAAATATCTTACGGTTCTATGATGAACGATTTTTATTAATATTGCGCACGATTTCAAATTACCAGCTATAACGTGCACAATAAAAGGATGGGATACGGTGGATTCATCGTACGCTGCAAATATTATCGTATTGCTTTGTTTAAGCTAGAAAATGCAATCATTCTATCAATCAACTTGAGCTTTCAAATGATATCAAGATTTACTTTTGATAGATTATAACCTGTACAATTAACGACACAAATATGCAATGATCTGGGTTTTCGGACTTTAGTACCATTTATAACGTAGACCTGTCCGATAAGGTCAGTATGTAAAAGTTTGTACTAAACATTTTATAATGACGGTAAATTATACCCAACAAACTCGTTACATCGACATCAAAAGTTGGTTGGCAAACTGTTAGAAGAATAATGTTTCATGTAGGGATATAAATTCGGATAGCGTTCGTCAACTTTGATAATGTAAACAATTTTGTATTAAAATTAGTGAAGTAAGTAAAATCAGCAATCTCTAGTGAGATTTATAGCAAGGTAGGGTAAATAAGCAGTGAACATTTCTAAATAAAAAGACTGGAATATATGATTTGTTTTTTCCAATAATGCTATCAAAACACAGTTTGATTTATAACTAAGGGTAAGTAATAAACACACCCTAATATACATGCAAACTAGAAATGACTTCACTTCCTATCACTAGTTTCAAGTGCCGATGCAAGCGAATGATGAAGCAAGATTTTGCATTTCGAGGGAGAGAATCACATCCAGAACATGCTTAAATTGTTGCTTAACGTGGTCAGAAGACTGTATTTTGTCAGCGTCTTCTTCAAATAGAACGATGTCATCAGTGTATTCTATGTCTACATGCGAATCTCCTGGTAAGTCGGATGATGAAAGTGTTGTATCTAAAAGAATGTCAATCACAAAGTTAAACAAGAATGAAGAAAAAGGACAACGCTGAAGAACACCATTCGAAATAATCATTCCCGATGATAGTTCACCGTAAGCTTTCACACGACTAGTGGAGTCTGCACAAGGTGAATGAACTTCCTTCAGTAAAAGAATGCCAAAGAGCCTCACGATCGAAAGTCGAATGCCGCCTTAAAGTCAACGAATACCAACTCCGCCTCGAGCCACTCCGGGACTAGAGCCGGTCCCAAGCTCGGATAAAAGGAGGGTTAAGCTTGGCGAGCCCGTCCCGTAGAAAACTAACTTGCTACACAACGCTAACAAGAAAAAATAACTCAGAACATTTAAACTCTGACATGGAAGTCAGGTCTTCATTTACGAGAGTTAAGACGTCTCATTGTAAGAGTCGAGTTCCTTCGGAAGTCACCAGGCCGATGCCCCTCCTGACAACCCGAGCCCTCCCACGGTATGAGAAGCCAGGGAATGACATCCGCCCTCATTACCGTAAAAGCGTACGAGATCAAATCGGTCACAACCAAATTTTTCCTTCATGGAATACAACTAATGTCGGACATCTGAATGTGTCAGCCAGCTACAAGGTAGAACTTCGTACGTACATCAGTTCAAAGTTGCCATACCATTAGCGCAGATCGAATTGACGATTCAAATCCCATGGTGATAGAGGTTGTAGAAGTATTAACGGTAATGAATATTACGGTTAGAAGATATTATTCAAGACTTATAATCCAGTGAAATAATTTTAACAGAAAAATGAGTGATGAGAAATTCAGATTACAATTTGAGAGAACACAAAGAACGGATGCATCTGCGCGATCACAAACGATTTTAAGCCACATCTGACAGTGTGAATATACAGTTTATACATACACGCCCAGGTCTGAAACCACCCTGATTTACAGGTTTGCTCTTCGCTGGCTCTAGTCGAAGTAGAAGTACTACTTAGGCTATCTAAATTAGTTATGCTGACAATGAATAATACGCCATTTTACAAGATAATCTCACTAACAGTTAGATTTCTAATACTGGTTTACTGACATGCTACATTTTTGACTTATAACATTAAACAGGATTTAGAAGGTAATGAAGCATCAGATAATAACTTTTCGCTAATTATGATGGGGATCATAATCAAGAAGCCCAAATATTACAGTGGTCTAAATCATCACGCATGTATTTTACATAAGTCATTACTCCTTGACTCTGAAATTCTCGTTAAATATACTTTGTTTGACGAATAAGATCACAATGAATCCAAGTAATTTACACTAGGAAAACGCCAAATCTAGGGACGCTAGAAACTAGTCGAAAAAGAGATTCGATACTGATATCAGCAAAGTCAACAAGTACTTGAGCACGTCAATATTGCGACAACGGATTCATAGCTTTCCAGAACTAGCTTTCTATCAACCTACTCCTACACCACAAAACATAGCTTATCGAGGTAGTCAGTGGTTGGGCATACGTTCCACATGTCCTAACCACGTCAACTGATGGTGTTTCACAACTTCATATGATTAAAGACAAGCAACCTACGAGTGTCTTCTACTCTGACCAGCCATGTTTCCCATCCGTATAGCAGGACAGAGCGAACTGCTACACAGTACAGTCGTTTAGTCGGCAAACATATTTTGCATGCGTGACCGCAGAGCTCAAGGGGCAACTGCTTGAGGCTGGTCACGTTGAGGTAGCAGCTACGGTTGGGGATTATACTGCGATTTACGGCTGGATGTGTCACTTGGTCGTATGAGACATAAACTATAATATCTGTTATTTGAAGGGATAGCGAAATTTTCAAACGGTGTTTGAAAGGAAAGCACCACGTTTACATAACGAAAACCTTTTGTGCTACACATCGTCTAGATTGAAAATAGCTTATTGAGCGACAATATGAGAAGAAACCTATTGAGATTACATCGGATTAAATTGTGGTCTCACTACTTAGACAAAAAGGGTGTAACTCATGAACTTCAAATGATTTTTGAAATTTAGATCCAGCAATGTAAATGAATAACGAATGATGAAAATTCAAATGGACTGGTCATCTTACAAACTATTAAGATTGATTCAACAAACGGCACACACCGCTTTAAACTATCTCAGCTTACATAAATGTAATTACCCTCAAAACAGAAGCACAGTTTCGAGGTGCAATATGCCGGTTCTTATCAGATAAAACGTACTAGGCACAGATGTCCATCATAACTGGCATTCACCCAACATACATCTCAAGCAATTACATAGCGACCGTTATCATGCTGTGTACATACATTTCACAATGCTAGAATGGTAGAGTAAGATGCAGAGCCAAAATGATACTAACAAGCAGTAAAAAAGGTAGTGGAGTATATAATAATGAATACGGACAGAACTCATCACTTAAAGACTAAAGTTATGCAATGCTGTTTCAACCACTGGCGACGAGCAGTGACTGGAGCCAAAATAAAACCGACATTCCTCCGTTTCAGGGACGATGGGCTAATATTAATTCGAAGCCGAACTATACAGCTCTTAACGAAACCCTTCAGAAATTAACGTGATATTAAATATATTTAGATGCAAGTTAGAAGACGATGTACCAAAACAAGCGTTTAATTACCCTTATGTTACAGAGACATCGTTGTTATAATCCTTTGCTTAGAATCGCAGTTTATGGAAAAACCAGGGATTTTCATTGGATTTGTACCTAAAGAAAGTGAAAAATACGAAAAAGGAGTTACCTCTGCTGTAGTTTTAGCTTAGCTTCTAATTTCGCCTTTTTCCGCAATGACTTGTCACCTAATGCGTTTTTATTGATAACCTTGGTGTCGAAAACGATATTCACTGAATGCCTTGTAGGCATCAGGTGGTTATAATTGACAACTTTCACAAAAGGCTTGATTTTACATCGACTTTCCATTCGTTTTTTCCCCATTCTTTTGAGGATGCGTCGTGGATATCGATCAATGCCAACAACTAACGCGTGCCCATAAGGTTTTTCTCCAGAACCCTCATCATAGCTCTTGATAACAATTGCTTTTCTGCCTGCGTAACGACCGGCTAGAACTAATACAACTACACCGGGTCGCATAAGCCGAACTGCCGTCCTGAGTACATAATAAGGTTAGAAACACGACCTACTTTCCGTCACGCGACATCGCTTTCAAAAGTAGGTGCTAAAATCCAGGGTATTTAAACAATAGCCCAATATCTTCAATGTATATCGAATAATTTTTCCGGAACTTAGTAATAAACAATTAATTTCTTCTTATTCGCCTTTTTTCTTACGGTATTTGATAATGTGCAGTGGATGGTAGTCTAGTCACTCAAATGCACTAATTCTAGTCAGTTGGTAGTTAATTGCAAAGATGTGTATGTGTTGTAATTTGAATGAGTGAATTTGTTTCACAGAGGCAGGGTTTATGAATACCAACATCTATCACATTATCATGCCAGAGATAAGGCAAATCTGATCCAAACCGAAGATGATTATCTGTGCCTCTGTAAGTGTTTGTCAAGTATCCACTTGAAGCTATGGGCTGTGGTCACTTCGTCCAGGAGAGCATTATAAGTTGGGACAATTCGGTGAGAAAAATTGGGTGCGTACATGGTTGTCCACTCTTGTATGGGCAACTTTCGGAGGGTTAACCTCGAGGGTAGTGATGATGTTTAGGACAGACATCCATGTTGTGATGAATCCTTACTTACTTACTCCAGCTACCCCTATTGGAGCATAGACCGCTAACCAGAATTCTCCAACGTACTCTGTTCCGCGCCTAATTGTTGTCAGTTCTTCTCATGCCTATCTTCATTTCTCGGTAAAATGTATTCTCTGGTCTTCCTCTTTTCCGTTGGCCCTGAGGATTTCAATTGGGGGATTGTCTTGTAACTCAGTAAAATCCTTTCCTCAAAGTGTTTACAGTCCACCTCCAGTACTTCTACCTGATTCCTTCCTCTGCTGGAATATGGTTTGTTCCTTCTCACAACAGGTCGTTACTGTTGGCGTGTAACCAAAGGATCCGAAGTATTTTGCGCGGGTAACTGTTAATAAACTCTACTATCTTCAGGATGATAGCTTTCTTAGTTCTCGACACAAAGAGTAGAACCATTTTGGCTCACGGATTGGTTTCTTCTTAGTACTAGAATCAGAGTAAGTCGGATATTCCCCATTCCACAAGATGGTACTAGGTTTCATTAGTACTATACGCTTGTAGGTACCTGATTTAACTGGTCAGTAAAGTTGGCAACAAAGATCTCAGCCATCTCGAAGTTGGTAAGATCTTGATCGTTCGGACCTTTGAGGGTATAAATACCCTGGTTTGCATGTTTTATTTTAGCCATGAACCTAAAGAGATGTTTTCGGTTTAGAAGTGTTTTACTGGCCCGAGACTTGTCTCCGTTTGGACGAATGGTCGAGTATGCGATGAAATAAATCTTCCTTTCTACTTCCGTATCTTGTACTTCTTGTACAATTATAGAAAATGGTCGATACAATTATCGAATAATTTAAACGACTAATCAGCATAGTACAACGAATTAATAATAAGTTGCTACAGTTTATCCTATCGCTTCGAACTTTGACATTGGATTCGTTTCTCAATGCAAAGTGAGAACTACGGCCACAATCCGATGGTAAGGCCTTCGTCTTGTGCCAAGCTCACCTTTTATCATGTAACGAGGGTTCTATTGTTTATTCTTCCATTTCTGGGTCTGCGGTTTTCCTGAGGTGCATTACGTACGACATCCTTCCGAATCATGCATCTCATTGTTCGCCAGTGATCACCTACTGTTAGCCCTCCCATTCCCGTGGCCATGAGGCGTTTAAAAGATGCTCTCTCAAGATAGTGTAGTTAGCCGTAGTGTAGTAAAGGTAGGACTCATTTTCTTCCCACCTAAATATTTCGTTTGCAACCTTGTTAAACATGACTGCGCCGTGGTCACTAGTCCCTATTAATATGTGGACACGAGCATTCTTAATTAGGAGCTGATCGTTTGTTAGCGAAAAATTCAAGTTGGAGAGTTTTCCTTCCGTACTCTAGTGTCACACATAGTTAGTTCGCAACTCTTATTGGCTGTACCGCGAGGCAACCGATAAAGCATAGCTTTACAGTTAGATTGCTAGCAGTTAACTAGTAATCTTCGTTGAAAACCAACAAGGAAATACTTTGAACACATTCGTAAGTTACCTCCCTTCTTGATATAACTCATCTTGGATAGAAGCCGGTCTCATGGGAATTCGTTAACGGCCTTCCTAAAGTTCATGGACATGAAACTGTTAAGTAGCTTTTAATCTATAATCCTGAGATACCGGCTCTTCTCTGAGTCTTTTACTTTTTTGTACCGATGTAGGTGTTTAGGGTTGTCGATAGACACCCGTTTTACAGTTTTCAAGGATCGCATTCATATGGTCACTCATATCTAGGGGCAGCATAGAATCTAGGTTTAAGACGTCCTCACAATAAGTTAATGCGAGATCAAGTATAGATGATTTCCAGTCCAGATGGTATCTAATTACTTCCTTAACATGTTGCACTAAGGCACTCGTAATAACCGCATCAACTAATTTCTGTCCGGAAGACTTTTCCAACAATTCAGTTCTTAGGTTTTCCCAGTCTACCGAATGTGTATCAAAGTCCCCGAAATTAAACATAGACTACTTAAAGACTAGGTGTGGAGCATGTCTAGCAAGACCTCATTCACCTCTCAGTTTGGTCTGCGAATAACCGAACCAAACAACAGAGCTTATTCCTTACACTTCAAGCCTCAACTAACTAATCCAAACGTCCCGCCTTCACAGGAAAGCTTAGCGATAACAATAACAGGGATAGTATTTCCTATGAATAAGTCTACTTCTCTCCCCTAACGTTACTGGATTCTGTCGGCTTCAGCTTTTCTTAGACTTGGGCCGAATGAAGGAGACCAATTTTCTTTAAAGACATTCAGTCTTTTCTTACCCTTCATTTGCATCCATACACCATTTTTTACTAAAGCAGCAATCAGAGTGGCGTTAATCCACTGAGATAAGCTGAGTGATTGCTCATGACTTACTTGGTCAGGTCACAATTTTTTTCTCTGTCGAAACGAACTTAGCCCTGCGACAGTATGCTACGAATTTTCTGACTGTTACATCTTGGAGAGAGGAGCACAGAAGAGACCTAAATCGCGAGTTCTTATCCCTGACAGACCGCTCTCAAGTAGGTCGATCCTCGACCTTCGTGAATTATTCGAATATGCCCTTCTTTAGGACGACTGTAGATTGAATTGCTTTTCTAAGATGGTAGGATCTTCATATTTATCTCCGTCGCACTTTCTAAAATACTTTTTACTAACAGACTACCAACTAGATATTTTCTCAAACTCCCTCATTCATGACTTCTGGTTTCAGTGATTTTAGGATCTTCATTTGTAAACCTGCTACATAGACCGGCATTGTGAAGCACTGAATATTCATGACAACTCTAGTAGTGACCCTCAACATGATCACATACACCAAACAATACGCTATAATACTACGTCTTATCGTAGTACTTCATGGATACTTTTTACTGGTCGTGATACTATTCTTGTGTTCTCAGAATTTCATGTTTATAAATTTCGTCCCTATAATATTGGAATATAAACCTAAACTTTGAAGAACACGACTCACACGCATTCACCTTACAACTCATGCTCTACTGGTTAGACTATTTTGAAGCCTGGTTCTGCCATCAGGAAGCCAACTTCATCGAGCTTGTTATATCAGTTCAACGTGAACTTTTGCATACGGTGGTGAAGGAGTTACTGCAAATGCTACACTATCCTAGTAATATTTCTGAACCCAAGAACGGTGGTTTTAAACCATACGGAGTATGAGGAAAGTACCATCTGAAGATGTTGGAAAACTGTTGGGCAATATCGTTGTAATTGGATTTGTATCACAACAACTCCCGAGTCAGTGGTTTAGGGATTTGGCGTCCGCTAGCGGGACAACGATCTGTCCCTGTTTCATGGGCTCACACTGTTATAGAGTCCCATACTACAACAGAACCCTTTTTAAGCGGTCCCGTCCATCTATCTTCAATCAGTTCTTGATTTTAGTTTAATCCAACCTTCCTCACAATCCTATAGTGGTTATCTTGGCTTCGTTTGCTGTGGCCTCTCATTAAAAACTGGATTAGGAACCCCATCACTCTGCCTGGTACTTCTCTTGGTGCTAGATAAAACTAGATAGATCTGACTGCCGTGAGTACTTTTCATTGGCTTAAGGGAAACTTATGGTAATTCTCTGTCTATTTGTCGTTCCCAAGTGCATGGATTTTGGTACTTTACGACTGCCTATACAGGTCAATCACCAAGGTAGCTTCCGACGATTTAGTGAATTATGGATGGGTCAAGATGAGTAAAAGAATAAGGTGAGATTGATTGTAGGATGAAGGAGTGAAATGCACTCTGTCGGTATGATATAGAGTTAACTTCTGATAAATTCGGGTGAAGGGGTTTGTTTATGATCTACATTCTTCGGCTGACGAACTTGGCTTTAAAATTGTGTTTTTGAAGCTAAGAACAACTGTGATTTACATTAAATGTTAGAAAAATCACTAATTTTATCCAAAGTAGACCAACAAATAGTCAGTTTTTTAAAGAGGTTACTGAACAAAAGCTCACACGCTCTTAACACAATCATCCTACATTGTTGAACCTTAGCCATAATACCTTCGTATTAATCCTACAAGTATGGGTCGTCAGTTTCGAGGTTACTTATGTGGTTTCCTGCTCTTCGAAAAGGAAGAGATCTAGGATGTTTCGTACTCCTAGAAGTCTAAATCAATTTTGCGCACTTCAACCAAAATTCACCCATCATCTTGTAACATGTTATTATTTGAGAATAAATTATTATTATTATTATTATCTGAAAAAGGAGTCGCAGATACCTCGACTGAAATGATCGTAGTAGTCCGCTAGTCATTAGACGCTGAATTTATTTACTGTGTGAGTTCGAGCAAATTTTGCCAAAAGGTTAGGAAACCTCGGGTTTAGGTTAGTTTCCAGCTGTAAGCATATCTTTTTGGATAATTCTATACGACAAGTAGAGAAGATTTATCCTAATAAAGGAAAAATCTAACAGTAGCCGGAAAACTTTGTCTCACTCTAAGCACAGTCCTTTGAGACTTTTTTGCATTTACGTACTCCAACCTGTCTTTCGACCCCTTCAGGACCATGTAGAAACTAATATGGTTGACGCTATTCATCGGAGTGTAAATCCTCTTCTTGTCGCCCTCAGATAAAATTTTGTCCTACCCTTAATGGTACTGTATTTTACTGACTAGTGAATAGTTTTCGGTCCTTACTTTTATATCCTTCCA